CATTAGGAGATAAGGTAGAATTAATACCAAAATCCTTCTCCAGCCTTTCACCAACACCACTAACATTCGCAGTACAAACAACTCCTTCCCGCACAGCATCGACAGAAGAAGGGTGTAAAACATTAGCATTATTAAGATCCACACCAGCACAATTTGAAACATCAGCAATAGTAGAAACACCGCCCACAACCAAATCAGACAGCACACCCGCATCAGGAGAAACAACCCGACAATCAACATCAGGCAAAACCACACCCTCCACATCAGCAGACTGGCAATTAACAAGATTTTCACATTCTAAAGCATTTCGCTCGATTACAACATTACATAAATTCGCAGAATTATCAAAAACAGGAGCAGTAATCGGGTCTTCATTAGAAACAGGGATTGGAGGAATATCCACGGGGGCAGAGAAACCAACCGGGGTAGTTTTGGACGAAATTTTTGGACATTCTAATTTTTTATGACCTAAAGCTTTGCAGAAAGAACAAAAATTAGGCATGCCCTCAAAAATGACTTTCTGGGCATACCCAAACTTCTCCGGACCCAACCAAACAGTATCAGAAAAGGATTTGGATACATCTATTTCAACAAGCACACGCGCAACTGATGGACGGGAACCAGTACCCGTAGCAGAATCAGTATGAATCGGCCTTCCAAAGACCGAACCCAACCCAAAAAGAATACGGGAGGAGAAAAGATGGGGACGTAATCCCGGAAAAGAAAGCCAAACAGGGACAATCGGAGATTCTTCCGACAAATCTAGAACCGGAGACCACTTTATCACTTTCATAAAACAGCCATAAACCAAGTAAGGCCTGTGAGCAAAAACCCTAGCATAATCCATATCATTGGCAAGCTTGATTAAAACATTAGCTTGATCCAACAAAGTCACCGAAAATTCCCCAGATAACTTTAAAATCACGAAAAACCTACGGATTGTATCTAAAGAAGGGCGTTTAAGGGGAAATCTCCCAACCAACGCAAATTCAAAGGGCTTAGCTAGATGCAAAAATTCCTCTTCCGAAAACCACAGAGACGGCATTCCCCGATTCGAAGAAATGCGAAATTCCGGAAAAACATTCGAATCGACGGAACCAGAAAGAGCATCCTTAAAGGATTTAGGTTGCTTACCCGAAAGGAAACCAGGATTAAGCAATTTTTTCGCCATTAAAAGCTTACCGCCGGCAAGAATGGCGGCGCAAGGGCAGAAGCCCTAAAAGGGAGAAACCCTAGCAGACGGAGAGACGGGAGCCAACACTTTGAAAAGGAAGTTAAAGATACATCCCTTTCATCTCTACATGGCACTCTTAAAAATCTCTCTAACCATTAAGAACCCTTTCATTATCTATTTATAGATATAGTTGAATTTTTCTCTTTTTTGCTCTACATTGCATTTAGTTTTCTAAATCAAACCATTAAAATGCTCTATCTTTTTTTATTTTTTGTAATTTTATCTCTCAACCTCCATGTATAGTAACCTTAATTTAGTATATTCTATTTCTTCTCTCTCCCTTTTCAACCCTTATAATATACGTGTCCCATATCAATATCTTAAGTAAACCAGATTTCACCATTAAAGTAATCCTTATTCAAATAAAGGAAATAAGGGTGTAGTCCTATTATATGGCCCCATTTAAGAATGGTGCATGTGATGGATGCCATCACGTAGGAGTAAATGAGCAATGGGAGTTGTACAAGTGATGAGATAATGGAGTAACATGTGGTTAATAGCATTGGTGTCCTAGAAAAAAGTCGAGAAGAAAAATAATAAATGGACACAATGTTTCTTATATCCTGGTTCTTTTTTTAGCAATAAGCGAACTAGTGATGGTCTATATGCACTATACGATGACAATAAATATGATGTACAAGTTCCTTAAAAACAGTGTTGATGATGCACTTCATTAAATGTGTTTGCTCTGAGTGCAACATGTATTATTAGAACTTATGTCAACTAGAGAAGATTTAGAGATTGAAAGATATAATTGGTGAAGGAAGAGAGTTGTCGAGACTACTAAGAGGATTTTTTTTACAAGAATTCCTCATAGACATCTTGAGACATTCTCAAGAGAACCATCCTAAAAGTGACTTTTGAAAAAAGAATTTTTGCTTACATGACACCATCACATCAATATTGAAACACATTTATAATTATGCCAACCATGGTGATAATGAAGATGACGGCGATGATGATGATTGCATCAAATCTTTAGACATTTTTTTTGGATTTATACGTTTTTGTTGATATACGCTTCTTAGAAAAAAGGAATGGTTATCTCAAATACATTATTTTGAGATGGGGAACATGGTAATACAATATAATTAAAAAGTATGTAAGAAGAAAGTAAAGAAGATCGGTAATTATTTTGGCAATTCATAGGACATTTTCTTTAGATTGTGCCCTTGAAAGCTCGCATTTTATTAACCCTATCAATTTGTTTTCAACCTTTTTTCAGTATAAATTCTTTTTCTTATTGTTCTTTCTCACAAATTATGTTGATGTAAATTTGTTCAATTTAATTTTTAGAATATTTTTTTTATTTTTAAACTTCTTAAGTTGAAATTATGATGTACTTATCTTTAGAGATTTTTCACAATTAGGCCTTGAGCGAAAAAAAAAAAATGTAATATTGATGTCTCTTTCCCCTCCTCCATCTTACACTTCTTTTGAAGCACCACCTTAAACTTTCTAAAGTCACACAAAATCAATTTTAAATCAATGTAGCGGAAAAATCACTCATAGGGAGAAAGTTAAGTTATACTCGGAACAGTGTCACGATCTCATTCCTAAGATCCTATAAATAAAGCTTCGTAGTAAATGAGACATGTCTTACACCCTGTTTCTAGCATCCTTTTAGGTTCATCCGCGTATCTAAATAATTTGAATTTCTAATGCTGGAGATATACCTTGGGTTATTATCCTACAGGAAAATCATCTATTATCGGAGAAATTTTCCGGTGGAAATTGATTATTTTTCAGCGGTTTTCGAATTTACTGGTAGTTTTCCGGCGGAAAAATTTACGCTCGTAAAACCCACATAGGAAAATAAATTCCGGCAGCTTTTTACGGTTGAAAAAAATTCTGGCGACTTTTCGACGGAATTAGACCACCGGTAAATTAAAAAAAAATTCTTGTTTCGCCGAGCAACCGCTCCTGCCACCCCGCGCCCGCCAGCTAGCCCACCCGGAACCTGTTCTCCCGCTCCCACCAGCCAGCCCGCCCGGAACACATTCTCCCGCGCCCGCTAGCCCGCTCTTAGGCACCCGCCCGTCCCGCCCCCGTGTGCGCCCGCTCCCGCACCTACCAGGTGATTCGAACCCGGGTGGGTTGGAGAAAATCTCAAACACAGGTTATAGGAGATATAGGAGATAATTGAGACCTTGATATGCTGATAAACAAGATCAACATGGACGAAGTAATGGGTGGCAGTCGTAAAGGTTTGAGGCAAGATTTGCACTATCAATTATCAATGATATTTATGGTTATGATAAAATCATTCAAGAATCCTTTTCATAGTCATGATATTTGTTGTTTGGAAGGGCAATTTTTTTAATGGCTAGATGTATTCATGGTAAGGTGGCAAGTCTACAGTTGGACAACAACATTGAAATAACTATTTCAATCAAGGTTGTGAAATTGAGGACTGGAGTATGGAGTCAGAACGAATGATAGGTTCACTGGTTGTACCGGATGACATATAAATATAATATATTTATATACAAATTGTAAGAAATTGAATAATAGTTATATATGACAATTCTAAAAACTTAAACCTCATAAGATTTCTAAAAAGTTAAATTCTGAATTTTTCAAACAGGAATTATCAGCATTATTATTTATCTCTGCAATATAATTAAAGTTTATAAAATCATTTAAGTTAAATTGGAAATAATGAATTAATTATATACCATATTTTAAATTATTGATGGCGCAAGGGCGTTTAAACCACCATCGCTTCTAGCAAAACGCAATTGAAGTCTTCCTTGCGACAGTTGGAGGCATTTTAATTAACAAACGAGCCTAGAGTGGCACCTGACTTATGCACTTAGCTCATAACAATTTGTATAGGAAGTTTCTTAAACACTTGTTTTCAATCTTGGGCCTTGAAATCTTCTAATTCAACCCAGAGTTCTTATTTAATAGCATTACACTTCCAAGCAATTAGAAAATCAACGTCCATATGACTCGAAGAACAATTGAATTTTTTTTTTAGGGGTGCATAAATGAAAATTTGGTAGTTCCTACCTAAAAAGGGAGGGTTACCAACAAGCTTTAAAAAGCAATA